AGTTTCACGAAACACATTGGAGGGAACGGGGGCAAAATCGGTGTTCTTTTCGAGAGAGAGAGAGAAAGGAAGAAAGATATCAAAAGGGGGGAACGAAAGAAACAAGATTGGCGTAAAAAAAAAAAAAAAAGAAAGAAGAAGAAGAGAAACGCAGAAAGGACAAAATAGGGAATTGATGAGAGACGATTATAAACTAAGAGACTTTTTATTAAATTGATTATCTTTTTTACAATTTTACATATCGAGGGAAACCAATGTGTCTGCTCCACGTCTGGATATTAAGGGAAAAAAAAAAGTAATAATAAAGTATATATACGTATATAATTTTTTTACTGTTGCGAACGATATTGCCAAACTTAGCGTATAAGGGAAAAGAGAGAAAGAAAGAAAGAGAGAAAGAGAGAGAGAGAGAGAGAGAGAGACGTCTATCTAGCTTTTAAAAAGAAACAAAATAAAAAGATAACTAACGAAACAACAAAGGGGGAAAAAAAATGATGAAAATAAGTAGGGGTTAGGGGATAAATGAAAAATCGTTTCGGCGAGTCGCTCGTTACGTAGACTGGAGCCTAAACCTTGATCTCTTTGCGATACACACGTCCATTACATCACATACTCACACACACACACACGAGAAAAAGAAAAGAATTATCGCATACACCGACAGAAACACGAGAAAAAAGAAACATTACACCATATGCAAATTTCCCATAACGTTATTTTACCTCGCGGTAGATCCTTTCGATTTCGAAGCAGAACGAAATTCTCGCAGACGAAACACGGTCGTCTTCCTAATCGCGAAAATTTCCCCTTGTAGAAAGAAAGAACAAAAAACACAGCTTTGCCTTACAGAACTATTTTCTGGATGACGTTCTTAAAGAAAAGAAGAAAATAAACAATCATCGATCTACCAATTAAAGCACGTATATCGATGTGTGTCTCTATAGAAGAAAAGCACAGAGAGAGAACAAAAACGATTTATTCCAAAATGTCCAAAGGAGAAGCACGCAAAAGAAAAAGAAACAATGCCGAGGCGCAAAGTGTATCCTGTTTTTCTTTTACATTCCACGTAGCAGAGAGAGTAGAGGGAAAAAGAGAGGACGTAAGAAAGGGAACGCGAGAGAGAGAGAGAGAGAGAGAGAGTGGAAGATTGGTGAGAGAAAGAGAGAGTGAGAAAGATAGGAAGGATGTGGTTATGAACGAGGGGAGTGAGAGATGGAGAGGAACCACGACGGAGAGGACGGCGGTGCGCGTCCTTCCGCGTCTTGATGAAAAAAAAAAAAGAAGGAAACAAGAACTCGATCGCTCGCCTGTTCTTCTTGATTCGCAAAACACAATCGAGAGCCGCGTTCTTTATCGACGGAGATTTCTTCGCGCGAAATTGGTGGCTAAATTTTTCATAGAGAAAGATACTTCTTCTTATTGTCAGGATAGAGGAGATCTTTCGTCCTTGCAATCAGCGGAAATTATACGTATACGAAATGTCTAGCTGCTCTATTTCAGAAAGAAATTGCACAGACAACGCGAGTATTTATTTTCCAAATCACGAAAATATTCCTATACGATCGATCTCGTTTAGATCGTTGTTTTTTTCTTTTTCTTTTTTTTTTCCGACGATCCAGACGAGGAAGATCGATCGATCCTCGAGATGATATTTGCGAATGGAACGCGTTATCGAGGGGCAGAGAGAGAGAGAGACAGAGAGCCTAATTTAGGAAGGAAGAGTGACGAGGAGAGAAGAAGATTTGAATCGGTCGTGCGGAGAGAGGCGGGCCTTGTTTGCCAAGGGCGAAAAGAAGATGGGAAACTAGGAAATGGTATAACGGCCGTGTTTATGATCGGGAGAGAGGGTAACGAGTAACGAGAATGTGAAAATGAGGAATACAAAATGAAAGCAAATTATATTATATACGCGACTGTGATTTTTTGGAGAGACTCTCGTGTGCGAGGGGTCGATGTTCTACCCTGAAGGAAGCATGGCTCTTGTTGTGGTGATCTCGCGCGTCTCGATCATATTTCGAAAATGATCTCGAGCCTAGCAGACTTTTTCTCCCCTTCCCTCTCCCGCCTGTTGTTGAATATATCGTTATGTTCTTCTCCGTTGTTGCTCCTTTTCATTTCTTCTTTCGACGAAATAAAACGAAGAACCTCTGCCGACACGCACACGTAATGTACAACAATACTAAAGGACGATTGAAAAGAGATAGATAGAATTTTGCTCGAGATCGTTTTAACGACAGATCTTCCCTCCTTTACGTTGATCGTACAGATCGAAAGAGAGAGAGAGAGATATAGAAAAAAAGAAAACGAGAGACCGTAGTTAGAGCCACGCTTCCAGAATGAAACTCATACACGATAATATCTTATCGAACTATTAGTTGTTAGCCTTTTCATCGTCGAGACTCCTAGAGTGCGTGCGATGCTTCACTAGGGAACGTACGTGAGAGCGTATTTAAGTATATAAGCATTAATTAAAAACGAAAGAAAGAAGAAAAAAAAAAAGAGAATTTTTCGAGGAGCGTGTGCATTACGCTGTATCAGTGATGATGTGCGCTGTGAGGTGTAGAGAAAAAGAAGAAGAAATCACGATTTACATGATGAGGTGTGTCCTGTTTGAGATGTCACAATTTTTGCGAGTGGAAGAATAAAATCCGAGAGGAGAACGAATGAGCTGTGAGAGAGAGAGAGAGAGAGAGAGAGAGAGAGCGGTTATGTTTTTTCATGGAGGGATGATGATGTTGATAATGAAGTTGGCTCGTGATTCGACGTGAATCGCGGCGTCACGTTCGGGAAATGGGGACGAGAATCGTCGATTTGTATGAAAAAGAAAAAGAACCAGAAGAAGAATATAAAATACGAAGAATGGGAATAAAATAATAATAATAATAATAAAAAAAAAAAGAAGAAATTGTATAAATTTTGTATCGTGACGCGGTTGAAGATCGGAGAACTGTTTACTGAGAGATCGATTCGTTTGATCTGACGGTTTCGTTGAGATTATCGATGTTACTTGAAATGAACGTGAAACACGCTGTTAAATAATATACTGTTACATAGATATGAACGAACGAACGAAGAGGAGGAGGAGGAGGAAGAAATAATCCACGCATATTCATATATCAAGCACACAAATGAACATTATTTTTTCTCTTTTCGAGAACGATCTCAACGACGACTCCAGGTTGCAGTTACAGAATCTCCGCTCTTTTTTCTTCTTTTTCTTTTTTCTTTCCTTTTTTTTTCTGAAAAAGATATTCGAACCGCGGTTGCCGTTGTACGTACGAGACAATATTTTCGATAATATTTTTTAAACGATCGAGTCGCGAAACACGAGGCCAACGCGCGATAGAGCTGTTGTTGTTCCAAAGCGTCAGAGAGATTGCACGGTAATGGAAAGGGTGAATGATTAAACGAGAGAATGTGAAAATGAGAGAGAGAGAGAGAGAGGATGAAGATGGATCGATCGTGTGAAACGATGAAAGTTTATCTAGAAACTTGTGCGGTGACACAATCGATCCGAATCTTCGAATATTTTTTCCTTCGATACCTTCCACGCTGTTTAAACGTGTCGAGAGAACGTTACGATACAGTGTATCGCGCCATTACCGTGCATACCGTGTGATTTAAAGCTTAAAGAGAGTTAATAAGAGATGCAGATGAGCAAGACAAAAAGAAAACGGAATGAAAAAACTACAAAAAAAAGAAGAATTAATAATAGGAATAAACAGAGCGAGAGAGAAAGAGAGCGAGAGAGAGAGCGAGAGTTTAGAGTTAACTGGGAGAGGAAGAGGAGAGGAGAACAAAATGAGCGTGTTGTGAGATTGACTCTTTTTTGTGGCGATATTTGCGGAGAGAGAGAATGCTGCTGTCGAGTGCTGCCGATCGACGATCGGACCAAACATTATAATTTACGCATGTGAAAGAAATTTGGGCGATAAACGTGGGCTGAAACAAAAGAACGAGAGAAAGGGTTAGAAAGAAAGAAAGAGAGAACAAAATAACGAATAAACGAGAACACGAGAGAGTTGGATGGAGTGTCCTGTTTAGCCTGCCACTCTGTAATTTTGCTCACCCTCTCCAATTTCTTCCCTGATATCGTCGATAATGGTAAACACCGTATATAAAAACGAGGAAGGAGAAAATTACGAAACTCGACAGATTAATTTTTTTATCGAATAAAAGATACTTGGATTCGACCGCTGGTTACTGAGAATATTTAACGCGACGAAGAAATTTTTATTTTATTAGCGAAGATGGGATTTTTACCGAAACGGTGTTCAGTTAAGGTTGCACGATAATTTTGCCAAGCGAGAGAAAATTGTAGAATAGGAGAGGGTGCGGCATAGGCAACGTAGCTGCGAGATATTTAACGTATCCTTCGTTTCTTCTTCGGTTTGTGTCAGTCGTGTGGTTTGCGAAAGGAGCCTGTGTTCTGTGAAGAGATTCCAAATGACAACGACTATATGTGACACATCGGCTACATCGCTTATCTGAGTGCCAGAGCGATCGTGGAATGATTGGGGGACGATTCTTTCTGGAAAGTGTGTTCAACGCGTACGGATCGGCCACATTAATGGATCAACATGAGATTTATTTAAAAAGCGAGGAAGAAATGATGAAAGAAACGTTGTTGAGAAAATTACGAAGTAAATAGATCGTAAATCATCGATCGACGAAAACAAGTATGAACGATGAGATCCAACGGTCGCGTTATAAAGTTCACCGAATTATTTCGCCAAATTAACATGGTCGTATTATATCGCGGTAATTTTGTTTACGGGCAGACCCGCGAAACAAATATTTATTTCGCGAGAAATCATTAATGTGGCTGGCTGTACCCCGTCAGTGTGTGTACGAGAAATGATTATACGAATCGCCAAGCGACAGTGCCATAATTAAAAAAGAAAAAAAAAAAAGAAAAGTTGCAAAAACAGTAAAAAACCCCAAAAAAAGAGAGAAAATCATTTTCGACTGCTAACATCGCGATTCTCATCGTCCTGCAAAAACTGAAACAAACGAGAGAGAGAGAGAGAAAAAAAAGAAATGGAAAAATTGCGTTCTGTGTATGTCTCCTATTAACGATGAAACAAGCGAGAAGAAAAAACGAAAAAACCAAAAAAAAAAAAAAAGTAATAAGAAGGGTAAAATCTTGTATCGAGAGGAGAAAGACGAGAAATCGTTTGATCCCTTGAGAGATTTATTACGTTCGACCATCGAACGGGAAAAATCATTGCGAATTTCTTGCTGAAACACGTGGTCCTCTCACGTGTTTGACAAATTTCCTTTCCTTCTTTTTCTTTTCTTTTCTTTTCCTTCTTGTCTCCGACAAAACGAGATTGTCTAAGAATAAAAATTCAGTTTTTGAATCTGTAACCACACGCAGTGCTGCCATTAATTACCAGTCGTCGTCTCTCCACCAATCGAGCTTCTCTTTCGCTCAGTTCTGCATTTTTGCCCAACCTCCTCCTCCTCCTCCGATAAATCGTTCACCTCGACCCCCATAGTTTCCTCATATCAGTTTCGACAAAAATGCGGAAAATTTATCACCACTCGTTCCGTTGGTCTCGCACACATGGTCTCTCGAAACTTGAACAATTGCCTCGTTACCGTCCTTTTACTTCATCAATTGGATTACCTCGGATTAAAATGAAGCCGTACACCTCGCGATACCGAGAATTCGCCGGCGATCTTCGTTGTTGCAGCAAAAACACCCCCTGAGCGATTCGCTAATACCGAATTGTTGCAATGTTTCTCGATGAATCGAATTAACAAGATTAACCAAATTCCCACGAGAAATGTCGAATTCTATCGTGTACCACGAAGCAAAATTATGAAAATAAGAAGTGTATGAAAAAATTGGATATCTAATTGGAAGGGTAGTTGAATGTAAAAATTAGAGAAGAGACGGAGTGTAGAAGGGGCGACGAGGGCGAAAAGTTGGTAAAAATGACGCAAAAAAGTCACGCGGTGTGTTGGAAGAATGAATCGCGGCCGCCACGCAGCATGTGTCAGCAGTGTTCCTAATCCCTCCTAAGTACCCTTAACCCAATTGAATTAGAAGGGCACACCCCGTGACACGCGTCGCTGAAGTCGTTTCACCTGCATTTCCTCGATTCTTCTTTCCGCGCGTGGGACGCGTCGCGAGTGCGTGTGCGAGTTCCAATTCTTCTCTTCGATCGGAAGTATCGTCACGAACGGCGACACAGAAGGCCGTCAATCCGCGTTTTTAATGAACAATATCGGTGTTTTCGCTATCAAAATTCCGAAATAACTCAATTTGTTCACCGTAAAAACAAAGGTACCATTTTTCCTTAAACAAATTTCTCTATACTCGATCATCCAGCACAGTGTTCTATCATACGAGTCACCGTTAGGATAAATTTTCTGCATAATTCAATTGCTACACATTACTCGACCTTTTTTTCTTTTCACCTAACACAAACGACACACCCGTACATTTGTAACAAGTGAGTTTCCCCCCTTAAGAAGAGAGTAACGATTTGAGAAAAACTGTCACGAGAAGTCGAGAGAGGTTTGTGAAGGATGTTGAGTGAGCCAGTGATCGTCGATCGTATATTCTAACTGATCCAAACACGTTTTTTGGCTTCGTGTCTTACCAGAACACACTAAATACCGCCTGCTCGAGGGCTGTGGCCATACACACTGTCTAAAATACCTACTGCTTTTGTCCGGTTCGTGGCGACCTCGAGGGACGCCCTCGTGTCACGATCGAGAAAAGAGAGAGAGAGAGAGAGAGAAAAAGGCGCATCAGGATGGAACGAATGGCACGTCGCTCGCACTGCCATCGGAAGGGAGGCTAATACACGTCACGTAACGCGTTTCTAAGGTATCGGGAGACGTTTCGGTAGCCTGGACGTGGGTAATTTTCACGAGAAATGGAACACTTGGATGAGAATCAGGCATCTGGACCTTCGAACGCGAGGACAAGCGGAACCGCGGACGACGAAGTAAGTTGTTCGACTAGTACCTTCATTTCTATCGATGTTTAAGCGTTTCACAGGATATCGAGGATTTTGATCAATTTGTTTTTATTGCTCGATAATTGTACTTGAATTTTGGCAGAGACACTTGGTTTCGTTCTTTAGGTGACTTCACTCGTAGAAGTTGTTAATTCTCGTCGTTGGCAGACGAGATCGAGTAATTCCAGGATTCTTGAAATTAATCTTTCGAAAAGGGGTTAACGATACGTTCTGTGGTACGCGATAATTTGTGAAAATGGAACGTTCGTTAATGGGGAAATATTATTATTCTTGATATCGATAGTGACAGTTAAAAAGGAAAAATGAATTTTAGAGAAAAAGCAGCTTTTAATTTGCATTTGATTAATAGTTGAATAGTGATCTAAAAATGGTACAACTGTGGAGTCTATTTGGGCAAATAAATAAAAATTGACGTTTTTGACGGTTAACGTTTTATTATGAAACTATTTTATTACAAATATTTCAACGTATATTATAGTAAAATGTGCAATATTCTCGCGGTATGGAAAGTGTTAAAAGGGTGAGGTTTGTCTTATCGCAGGATGGCTTCGATCTCGACGATCTTTTGCCGATTGTTGGCGAATTCGGTCGTTACCAGAAGCACCTTCTATGGCTGGTGTGCCTTCCAGCCTGTCTTCCTTGCGGCTTTTGCGCGTTTAATCAGCTCTTCATGGCGGATACGCCACCCCATTGGTGCAAAGTGCCAGGATTGGAGAATTTGGATGTTTCTCGTAGGAGGAGACTCGCTATTCCGCCTAGTCAGGTGCAAAATTCTCCTTCCAAGTCGTTGATTAATTAGCTTTCTTATCCTTGAAAGTCCACAGTTGCTGCTGTCTTCGTCAATATATAGCTGGCTAATAAAGAAATCCTTATAGTTAGTCCTCCGTCTTGCCGAGCCAGGTAAATTCTTCTTCTAAATCACAACTTTCTATCGTCGAAAATTCCTAGATACAGATAATCTCGAAGAATTTAGAAATTTATAGGATACTAACTGCTAGGACTACGAAGAACACATTTAACCCTTCCGTACGTCATCTAGCATGCAAGAAAAAACTTTTAGTATTTTGACATTAAACAAACGTACGTTTTCTTCATTTATCTTCCACCATCGAAGAAGTTAGAATTCGCGTGTGGAAGGGTTAATTCTCGCTCCTTGTTGAGTACGTTAATCGCTAAGTCTGTAAGTGGATCAAGCAGTTGAAAAATAAATTCAAGGCTACTGTTGGTCTTCCTATTTGTCCTTTGTAAAGAAGCTAAGTAATTGCTAGTACATTTGGCTTGTTATATCTCCAAGGAGATTCGACTATTTCTGCAATGAAGGTAGACGATCGAAAAATAAATCTAAGGCCAAGAAGATAACGTAAAATTCTTCTTTTTTTCCGGTAAAAAAAATCACCTAATTACCCCGAGGTATGTACATATTCGACGCTTCGAGGAGGTAGAAAGATCGTGCTTGAACAGCGTACACGCCCAAGCTTGCCCCAGAAACACGTCTAATTTGGCCGCAGTATTGTAACAATCGGTTTCATAATTAGGACGGCAATGAAACGTACAGTCAATGCACACGATACGATATCGATTGGACGGCGGAAAACATTTCTGTCGTCACGACAGCCTCGTACATCCCGAACGCATCCTGGCCCGTTGTACCGTGCGATCATGGTTGGGAGTACGAGACCTCGAAAGTGACATCTTCCATCGTAATCGACGTACGTTCACCTACTCACGAGAATTTCGAACAATTGTACCGTCTAATCGCGGCAATTAATCGCGTTGTCGAAACTTTACAGTTCAATCTGGTGTGCGACCATGCGATTTATCCAACGATCGGTTTGGTCGCCTTGAACACAGGTGGACCAATAGGAGTGTACCTGTTTGGCACTCTGAACGACAGGTAACTAAGAATTCCAAACAGAAATTACGTCAAAATGGGCAGAATATAATAGAATACTTGTTTGTTATTCTTATTGTCACGTAGAATTGGTAGGAGATTGTCATTCTTCACCTGTCTGGCGACACTGATCACCGGTGGATTTTTGACGTCGATAGCGAACAGCTTTTGGACATGGGCTGCGACCAGGATGGTCGTTGGTTTGACAATTCCAGCGATCTATCAGATCCCCTTTATCATATGTAAGAACCCTCGATAAAACGAGATTAACGTGATACTCGTCTGGAAGAAACGTTAATTCGCAGAAACACCGATTGTTAATCTCTCTCTTTCTAATTTCTTATCGACGCAGCTTTGGAACTGGTCGGACCCAATTATCGATCATTCGTGACAGTGATGACGTGCAGTTTTTACACGATGGGCCTCTGTATGCTGGCTGTCGTGACCTATTTGATAAGAGATTGGAGAACGCTGGCTGTAACCACGAGTGCACCCTTTCTCATGTACTTTCTCTACTGGTGGTGAGTAATTACGTCCACCGATGTCACTGTTCAATTTTCCCGTGGAAACGTGCGAGATCACGATTCCAGGTTTCTACCGGAATCGCCGAGATGGTTGTTGGCGAAGGGTCGATTAGGCGAGGCGAACGATATCTTGGAGAGGTTGGCCAAGGTGAACGGGAAGGAATTGCCGACTTCTTTCACGCAAAAGTTACGGCAACGAATGATGATGTCACGGACGAAGAGCGAAGAGGAGCGATTACGCAGTGGACCCGGTGTTCTGTCGCTCTTTAAAACGCCGAACATGCGTCTGAAGACTTGCCTGATCACTCTGAATTGGTGAGTCAAAGTTCAAGTATGATAACGCCGGTGAAATCTGATCGAAATACAACACGCCCATTTTTACCTGTGTCATCGTGTGCGTAATCGAGAGAGATAAAACGAATGAAAACAACCGACGCGGATACGCATTTCTTTCGCAAGTGTCATACTTTGATAAGAAATCGTGTCGACATATCGACGTAATTTACGGATGTTTTTGTTTCTTTTCTCTCCTTTGATACCTAGGCTTGCTTGTTTTGCCAGTTTAAATGCCCACTCATTTTGTGACGTAGATTAATATGTACGAATTTGGACGATCTAATTCGTTGTTTCAGGTTCGCCAATAATATGGTGTACGTAGGTCTGTCGTACTACGGGCCAGCGTTGGGCAACGAGGAACATTTGAGCTTCTTCTTCTCGTCTTTGGCGGAGATTCCAAGTTACATGGCCTGTTGGGTAGTGATGGATCGATGGGGTCGCCGCTGGCCTCTTTGCTTATCAATGGTGCTGGCTGGCGTCTTTTGCATCGCCACAGTTCTCTTATCAGCTGGTATTCAATCTCGATTAACCCTTTCGCCACGATTGCCTGTGTCAACTGTGCAATCGCGTCAAGACTAAACAATCGTGACGCTTTTCTACATTTTTACGTCGAATGATCGAATTTAACAAGCATGCTTGAATACCTGCTATTTTTAAATTTGAACGCTATGAAAATGGGAAAAATATGTTTAGAAAAAGAGGAATTAGAAGTATGGCTGTTCGCGAAGAGCCTTCCGCGAGATTCGATGCACAGATAAAAATCCGTAGATTGTCGAACTCGTTGAAAGATTAACAGAAGATTAGCTCGACTATTTTCACAAACTTGAACGATACGACGACGAAGCTTTCATCTTTCCTCGATGCAATTCGAGTGTGCTGAAGCTAAATTAAATCGTATCTTGACAACTTGACATATAAAACTTATGCAAAGTTTTGTCCATCCTGTACGGTTAGTGTACAGTGGCTGTTTCGTAGTGGCGAAAGGATTAATAAGAGGAAGAGAAAGGAGAAAAAGCATTTCTAAGTTGTAAATCGTCGAAGATAATCCGTGAATAATGTGTTTTTTTTTGTTGAAATGTTTGTTTGCAGATGCAGTAGTGACCACGCTGATTCTATTCCTCTTATCGAAATCCGCGATATCGGCCTCCTTTCTAATTATATATCCGTTTGCCGGTGAACTTTACCCCACGCAACTGCGCGGCGTAGCGATCGGTTTCTCTGCTTACATCAGTGGTCTCGGGCTTATCATTATTCCTTTTGTTACTTATCTAGTGAGTAGATCGTAAATAAGCTTATCGAGTGGCCGCGGTCACACGATTTCTCCCCGATGTATTTGCGTCATTTCACACAGGGCAAGGAGAACTTGGTACTGCCGTTGGTGATACTCGGTGTCGTCTCTGTGATCGGTGGACTGTCTGGCCTGCGTTTGCCCGAGACGCTGCATCATCGATTGCCCCAGACTGTAGAGGAGGGAGAGCTGTTCGGGAAGGATTGGACATGTGCCGATTGCTTTCGTTGCATTCCGATCAAGTACGAAACGAGGCAACAGAAATTCATTATTTAACCCTTTCAGCACTTTCGGGACTTTCGTTACTTGACACATTGAGGACTGATGACTTTCGTTATTTAACCCTTTAAGGACTGGGGACTTTCGTTATTTAACCCTTTAAGGACTTTCAGAATTTTTATTATTTAACCGTTTGCAGGTTTTCAGTACTTTCGTTATTTAACCCTTTGAGGACTTTGAGTATTTTCATTATTTAACCCTTTGATGACTTTAGAGACACTTTCCTTATTTAACCCTTTGAGTGTTATTTAATAGTTAGACTGAGGAATAGTTTCCAATTTTGTTCTTTAGAGTGGAATCCGGGAATAATGGTAGAATGGTAATAACTTTGTGTATCATTTTCATGGGTTTCAGACCTTCGTCAGCTGCAGCATCTTACGAAGATCTGTCAGCCAGAGAGACGGTGGAGATGCACGAGGTGCCTGAAGCACCCATACCCCAAAGACTACTAGAGGAGCAGCAGAGACCAAGCAACGCAAGTGTGCGTCGCTTGGTTCGCCAGTCTAGCGTGATGGACACGCAGCGGGACTCGGACGGATCCATTAAGATGACCTACTGGTTTTAGATCTGAATCGAGTTTTGAGTTTGAAAATAAAACCTACACTGCTAAACAGTAGACATATTATTCCCCGTTGTCTCCTCTCTTCGTCAAACTTCCTCGCCTCTCTTATCACGTGGAACAATCGTAAATAGTTTATTTGCTCAATGAGAAATTCGGGTACAGTTTTTTGGAGACTTTCAACGCCTAATTGCCCATTGAATAATCCATGCTTCTCCGAAGTGGTCTTATCTCGAGTGGTCTCAACCTGGACTACTTATAATTTAGCGGAGCAAAGTACACCATTTCCCCCTCCCGTTTCTCTTACTTTTCCAAAGAATTCCTCCGAGTTAAAACCACGACGAAATTTTTCAAATAAAATTGCCCGACAGAAAGGAAAAGGGATATACTTATAGCTAGAAGAAATAAAAATCATCTCTCTCGTGTACATCTTGCAATTTATTCCCACAGTTGGTATACAAAACACGAAGATTAAGGGGAGGAGGAAAATTAAGAAAGATCGTGGTGTTTGCCATGGAATACACTCGTTTCTCGCGTTCTCCTCGTCTCTTCGTCCGAGGAGCGTCATCTTTCGCCCGTATCCTCTCTTCTATCGCTTCTTAAAGTCGAGTGGTTCTGTTGTAGCAGCTACAAGTACGTGGATCACTATACGATTTCGATACCGTTGCCCCCTTTAACACTAGAAGGATCGTCCAGGTGGGCAATCGACCCATCGAGGAAAAGTGAATTTTCGTGTAACTTGAAACGGCCGATGGGAGAGAATTGTTCTGTTATCTATGCCAATTAGACGTAGACGCGAACGTGGAAAAGATAATGTGAAAATATGACAAACGATGATACCTGTCGGTTATTAGAAAAGTCACTTCTGTTCCCTAATTCTTCCTTCTAGTGTTAAAAACTCTCCCCGTTGTGTGTTCTGTTTTTCTCAAACTTTTCTTTACCTGTCCAGTAATCGCTGCTTTAGCTCAGGTGGATAGGGTACGTAGATGTAATGATCGGGCATCTCTTCGTTCGTAATAGCTAGATTCTCGTCCCCTTGATCTCCTTTTCTTCTCACGCCGCTTCTACCCTCGCCGGGACCACTCTGATCGTGTAACGACGACGTAGCCGTGAGATCTCCATCCGTGTAGTCTAAACTTCCTGATCCATCCAGTCTGTCTTCGTCTGCTGAGCTAAGAGCGAAGAGAGAGAGAGAGAGAGAAATTCAATAGGGGCAGAGAAAATTGACAGATAATCAAGATCGTGTTCGCAACGGTGTATCGTGCTAATTAATTAGAGTGCATAAAATCCACACGTACTTCACTTCTGTCAGATAAGTAGAAAGATACGTTTTTCGAGTGGCTGTATCTCTTCTAATATTTTTTAATTGCTCTCGATGGTTTCCGCGAAGAAACGTGGAAAATTACTCGAATCTTTTCTTTTTCTTTCTTATCTCCACATAGTTCTTTCTACATTTGTGTTATGCAGATTGCCTACGAAACTTTGCACGAAAGTATCGGAAATGGTCGAAACGACCTCGAGCGTTACTATCACTCGGCAGTATCGAGTAAAAACGAAGCGCGTGTTGTTTTATTTAAATGTGGAAAAAAGACGAAACAATGAAAAATCGTGGAATATTTGAATATTTTCAAATGTAAAAACGTGCAACGAGCTTCGTACTTTTATCTTGACCAATTTTGTTTCCCCCCTCGCCCCGCTATCGGTTCATACGTTTCCACGAGTTTCACAGTTAATAAAGTTATATTCGGATTATTGTTACATGTCGTTCGGGATATTTCATATTCGTCGCTATCTCGCCACGAATCCGTACATTTACAGGCGCGTGTTTAATTGTCCCGCTGATAACTACTTTTATCGCTGGGTGCACTTATGTAAATAGAGACTACGATAAATCGCGAAACACAGTTACGAGTGGATATATGTACGTAGATGTAACTTGTCTGGACGTACGTACTTGAACAGCACCCAAATAATGTAGTAGCACATGTAACTCGCCGTGAAGAGAACGACGAGGAAAATGGTCAACAGGTACCAGGGTGTGTGCCTTTGTTGCCTCTTCGTGTCCTCCCAGTACCTGTCGCAGCTTAGGTACCAGCATATCGCGCGATTCAGTTCCCCTGGATCGAAGAAGAAGAAGATGAGAGAAAAGCACACAGTTTGATCGAATTGTGTCGATTACGCGAGAAACGAGCATACCTTCGATCTCCTGGAAATCCCTGATCGAGAGATTCGTCAAAAGTCCAGCGATGCAATCGCGTACAAGAATCTGTCGATTGGATCGAGAGGATAATTAATATTGCTGCGAAATAAATAAGCCTGTTTCTCGTGATATACGTGCTTGTTATCTTGTTCTTTGCTGTTATGTGCTAACTACTACGTGTTTTATTTGTTTCTTTCTTTCTTTTAGTGACATGTTAGTCTACGAATTTTCTGTTTTTCTTTTTCGTTTTTAATACGACAATGTTAGGCGAGTGTGGAAAGTTAGATGATTAATTTCAGGGCATGGAGATTAAGCGAAAGATTAGCATTTCTCATATTCAATACTCTACAAAGGACAAGGTACTCATAGTTACTCGGTGGACGAAAGCGTTATTACAAGAACCCAAGCTTCTTTTCAAGTACAGTAATTTACACCCAAGTAATGAATTTTCACATACTCAACCCCTGTATCGAATCTGTAATCTCTTCGAATTCCATGGAATTCACGAATTCAAGGACAGCGACAGATACCTTCGCAACTATTCCTCGATCTCATCGAAATTCCCTCGGAACATTCGGAGACGATTCCGACCCATCTATAATCATCTTAACCCTACGTTAGTCGGGTGAATTTTCTCCCTAATGTTAGCCTGGTAGAGTCTGACAAACCCCGGTTCAATTTTTGCTTTGAAAATTCAATAAATCACGCTGTAAACTTCATTTAACCCTTTCCCCAAATATACGTAGGTAGAAAAATTGACAGTCAGGCTGCCTATTTTTGTGCTCAGACGTATCTGGGCTGAATAGTTGCGTTCACAGGTTTTCATCTATCGTCCTCAGAGCTTCAACGCTAACTTCATTCAGCGAATTTACAGAAACTGAAATTGAACCTGACGAATAAAATGGTAACAGCGAGTTCGTCAGACCCCACCAAACTCTCCAAGGTCATCAATACCCTCACGAGGTCGAACTAACTTCGCACTGCAGCTTCAGCTTCTGCAGCTCTTCGGGCTTGCAGTTGGACTTGAGCTTCCTCAGATGCAATCCTTTGCGCCTCTGTTTCTTATCTACAGCCGGCAGAGCCGCCTCCACGAGGTTCTCCTCGTCGTCCTCCTCGTCCTCCTCGTCCTCGTCCTCGTCCTCGTTGTCGCAGGCGTTGCTCTTGTTGTCCGGACCAGCGATCTCCACGTGATAAGCTGTCCCCGGCAAACGATGATTCTCCAGTGCACCGCTGTCCTCGCGATGGCAATACTGCTGGATATTGGTGACCGCTCCTCCACCGGTAATCGTGCAAGCCTTATCGCCTACGGGGTAGGTCCTCGAGAAGGTTCGCGACTCGCAAGGCAACACCGACGTGGAACGTTGCTCGGTGTTCTCCTTCCAGACCTGTATATCGGTGCTGTGATGACCTGCCTCGTCGTCCACCAGGGAACTCTCGAAGTCCCGGTTACCCAGCACGTCGCACCTCATGATGTCGCAATAGTCCGCGAGGCACACCGCGTCCTCCGCCTGTTCTCAAACCATTGCATTTAGAATTGGCAGTCAGTCACGTTTTGTAACGTGGAATAGAACACGGGATATTTCAGGTGTTTAACGAAAGTTGGACGCTAGGTTGGCTCTGTGGACCATTGGTAAATTGAGGTGAAAGTTTTTAGTGGGTGAAGGAAAATCTTGTACTGGAGAACATGTTTTGTTGGCTAATGAAGTTCGTATACTTGCATCTAAGAGAGAGTACCATGAAAGTTTCTGGTATCGGGGGGATTTGATTTTAACATCGTTAGCAAAGGATTTTTCTATCACCAAAACTGTGGCACTGCAAATCTTGCACTCTGTATATCACTGTTTTAGCATCGATAGCGAAGAAACTGAAAATTTGTTCTAATTTCACTAGAAATGCACGTGAACGTGAAACTAACGAAGTTGTTTATGCACAGAGATGAGAATTGATATTTTTCCAAGAGAAATTGCAAAAACCAACTCACCGTGTTAACGTTACTTTTGTGTCTGTTATCGAAGTGGGCATCTAGGTGTTTCTCTGCGTAGAAGGACTTGCCGCACAGGCCGCAGGTCCATTGCGACGGCCTGTGCTGATGTTTGGCCTTCTGCTGCGGTCGAAAAATATCTCGGCTCTCGTGAAACGGGCATTCCAGCGGCAGCTCTACCTGATATTTCTTCAGGATTGGCATCCATCTCTGAAATCTCGAGAATGCTGAAGCGCTATCGCCTCGTCGTTCGAACAATCCCTCCCCTTAACTATACATCGAACTTCGTCAACAACCGAAAACGAATCGCTTCTGTCAAGGACGAGAAAAAAAGGAAAAATTTCTCTTTTACCTTCTGCACTATCCTCCTCACCACGGACGCTCGATCGCGGGGGCATGATATTTTAAATACGCTGGGTCCTGGCCAGGGGATCACGGACAACAGTAACACTATCAAGACCTGCGAACGCAAGAAAACAAAACACCCGTTCAAAGCGGTAGTTAAGATTCGTCCTTGTCTTGATTATTATGTTCTTTCATCGTCGATAAGTAGAGTTACGTTGCAATTCCGTTTCGATCCCTATCGTCCTACATTCATTCGTGACGTCTTTTCTCTCGTATATATCGTCGAACATTAAACGAACGATCGTGCAACGGGACTCTCTCTCTCTCTCACTCTATCTATCTATCTATCTATCTATCTATCTATATATATATACGATACGTATAGGTCTGTATTTGTAAAACGCTCATGGATTGAAAAATTTCACGCACTCTGATCGTTCTAGTCATCGTTTCCTCCGCCCTGAACGAGCCCTCTCCCGATAAAAACCGATCGCTCAGGCACCACGTCCCACGTCCGATCACCGTAGGGTGGAAAAAATTGATCTCGTAATGACGCAATCTCTCTGACGTGACGAATAGAGGATGACCATTCCGCCGCTGTCGATACAAACACTCGTCAAATCGACTGCTTTCCCGACACACTTTAATTACCTCGAAATGGAAGGGTTGGGTCTTCATTCATAGCCCAGATTCGCCTAGCGACAGTCGGCCGTGCTGGTGACGACGATCAAAGTGGGTAAACCCCGCCCGTTCACCACGAATCACGCGATAATCCTGAATAATACGTGCCACTAACGATTCACGGTCAACTGGGGACGTAACGGGGGTTGCAGCCAGGATCAACTATAGGGGTGAACGTCGACATGGCGTCGTAGTCGTCACTTTTCCTCAAACAGGGATGAATCCTCGAGGGGTGCTTAATTGTACAATCGAGAACACGATTTTTTTCTCTCTCTCTCTCTTTGAAATTGTCAAGGAAAAAATTTCTCAGATAGAATATACGAGATGCTTCGATCGTATCGGTGTCGATATTACATAGAACAACCGATCATTGGTGAACTTTGAACGTTGCACATTGCTCCTCGAATAATTGAATTTTTTTCTATTTTTCATTGTTCTATTTCCGACTGTATTTCCCTACCGATTGTTTCGCCACAGTGTCAATGCTAATTTACCAGACAATAGTCGCGAACAGATATCTCGGAAACGAACGATTCCCACGTACACGTCCACGTCGTTCCACATTATTTTTTTCCCCTCCAGACACGTGTTTCGAGCGAAGCGTCGTACGGGCCTGCACGCGGCGTCGGAGTCGGCGTCGATGACGCCGCGCCGACGCAACGACGCCACCGAGAAACGTGCCGGGCGCAATCGTTCGGGTTAAATGCGGACTGCATGGTGAAACGGCGAGTAAGAAAGGGAAAAAATGAGAAGTCGGTGATTTTCTAGCCGCCGCGAACGTCACCAACTGCGCAAAGGGTCACTGGCTACTGGTTTCAATCGACGATTGAACTCCTTTCCGTCGATAAATTCATAAATAAACGTCGACGCGTCTCTAGGCTGATCGAGGTTCACTCCATAGGGTGTTCAGTTTTAGCGACCAACGATAAACTCTGTTGCACAGCGAAATTTCGTCCCGCCAGATGGCAAGAGGGGAGAGATTTTCGATTTGTACGAAACTCGACGTTGCAGGAGCTTGCGATATCACGGTTCGCTTTATTTCTTCCTCTGTTTCTCTCTCGCGGAAGATAATTTTCGATTCGGGGTATCGAAGCGCGGAACGTCTATTCTGCGCTCGAAACGCTCGGCTCTGTCGCGTAAATGGGTATCGATTATGCAATACGAGCGGCAAAATCGGCCCGCTTCAATTATGTAACTTTTGTCGGCGCACAGAGCTAGTTTTCTAAGCCTGCTATGACATTTAAAGTAATCACCCGGAGTCGGGATAATGTAGTCGTTTTAGCAAGGATCTATCGCTCCGATCTGTCGACGTAGATCAATTCCAAATCAGCCCAGAAATTTACCATACTTTCGATGTTAACGTACACTACCGATCCGTCGATATTGGAACGATCGCTGAAAGAAAACATTCTACCTCTGAGATCTTTGCTACTTAAACCAGCTGACAAACTTGTATCCCTTTTTTCCAAGTAGAGGAGATACACGTTCATTTCTTCATATTAATCGACAGCTCGAAGTGTCTAGTATCAGTACCGCGGAGAAGGCGTAAATTTACGTTGCGACAAGAATGGGAAGAAAGTCTGCTACAGTCACAGAAACGACGAATATCAGCTGTTTGAGTCATTACCAAGTGGCAGTACCGTAGAAAATCAAATAACGCGTTTTTTATTTTCGGATATTAAAGTGACCGAAATTACCCCGCTTTCCCCTACGTTGAACGCGCTAGGTTATCGGATATCACCGATATGATAACACCGGCAATTATCCTTCCGAAAGCGAAGCTGATCGAATAATTGACAGGAGGTCGAAGTCGAAGAATCGTGGACGAAAAATCGTTCGCGATCGATCGAATCGTGGACGATGGAAGAGAGGCGATGGGTGAGCAGCGAACCCCGCGACAGAATTGATCGTGGAGCGTGAATTAAACGCGCGTCCACGTTTTCGCGGAACGAGTACTCGAGGAACGAAGTTGGCCGGTGTGGAACAAAGTGCACATGCGGTATAACGTTGCAGCTGCACGGAGGAGGCCCGTTACTGCGTCTCGAATAGCCGACCTCGGGAATGTGAAGTCCTCTCTTCGCGGTACACCTTGTATACGCCTCTTTTACTAAGCGTACACGGCCGTATAGTGGGGAGAACGGTATCTACAGGCGAGCAGAAGTTAAGTGGTTTGCCAGAGAATCCCGTAGTCTGTCAGTGAAAACAGTTAGGCGAGCGAGGTTCGCCAGTATCGAGAATAGCTTTCGTCCCGCCGGCCGTCGTTTCCGTCGTTTCGTGTGACCGTGCTTGAATCGAGAATTCTCGAGTATCCGCCGCCTCCCGAAAAAAGAACCTCTGTCACGAATAAAGAAACGCACTGGCCAAAGTCGAAGTCTCTCTTCTCCCGGCTGAGTCACAATTCTGCATCAACGGCGAATCGCGTGGAAGATTCGCGGCAAAAGGTTCCTGGATTTGTACGGTATCTATGAATTTTCGTTGTCTCTTTTCCTGAAATCGGGTAAACTCGACGACGGTAAGTTTCGTTGGGTGATATCTCCCCAATCAAGTATAAAACTTTCACTTGCGAACGTTTGCAGGTGCTCTTTCCTATGCATGCAACCGGTTTTTCTATCGACTTTCACGAACGCACGAGGTTGTAGGTGAACGAAAACAGGGTTTCCAAAGCAACAGGTTCTTCTGGCTCGGTGCAGGGAAATCGATCGATCGATCGAATTCGAGAAAGGATTCGAGATCCTTCTATGTCCCTTTTGTAATCGTGTGCATTTGATCTGTTGACACGTTATTTTTACTACGATAGGGATGCTTATCTTACTGTCGTCGTTCCTTTTAACGATGATTAATACCTGTTTTAACGTTCGTTTTATCGTCCTTCTTCTCCTTCTATGTCCCTTTTGTAATCGTGTGCATTTGATCTGTTGACACGTTATTTTTACTACGATAGGATGCTTATCTTACTGTCGTCGTTCCTTTTAACGATGATTAATACCTGTTTTAACGTTCGTTTTATCGTCCTTCTTCTCTCCGATTTGCATGCATAAGTATCGCATCGTAATTGCGAGTATCTTGTAATTTGCATAATTAGGGTCAGGTTCAATGGTAGTCCAGTCTGGTTTTTTTGCACGGTGTAGTCGTTTTTACACGTCTATGTACTCGAGTATCGTTCAATATTCGAAACGTAACAATTTGCATACTCGAAGATGCACTTTGTTTTTAATCGTATCTTTATTGCTACGTTAAATACGCGAGATAATTTTAACGGCACATTTGAGAAATTGAATTTGTCCGATAGAGAGAGCCGACTGATTCGATATTAACTTGGTAGAAAAAATGAAACACTACTAAATTCCACCTTTTACCTCTCGAGCCTCCCTTATCTCCCTGTTACCCTCGATAACTGTTATGCGTTTAGCTCGGTCTAGCCGCGGTCGAAGACGATACCACGTCGATCGACTTTTTATCACGCGGTCAATTAAGTGCACCGAACTTGATTGATCGAAATGGACATTTCTCGCGCGTCCACATTGCCGCGAGAAACGCGAGTTTATCGTTGGCCGCTGCATCCGTTTCATTCACGATAGCGTGAAAACAATGAGAGGCAGGCGACACCGCGCTCTCTGATAATCGACGAGTAACAGTGTCGATTCGTAATAAGCAACTACTCGCTGTCCCCACTTCTTCGTTTCGGCCGTCGAGTGAGAGGTCCGCGAATAAATATTTATGGTCGAATGAAGAACGGTGACGTCATTTGGTGAAAGAAACAATAGAATATGTACAACGCTTTCTCGCTCTGTCGTTAACGATCCTCTGCGGTTGTTACACACATCTCGAATCCTATCGCCAGCCCTCCGTGTTATCTCGTCTCGTTCGAAAGCAAAATCGAGCTAAACGACGTGCCGAACCGTAATAGGCAACTGGCCAGTCACAGGCGAATTGCTTATTACGGGTGAAAACTGTATACGGCGACGTCGTCGAGAGAACCGTGCCTCCCTTTCAGTTCCTTCGTGATCTCCTTGGTGTGCCCGTCTGCACCGCCACTGTCTGCTGTTAGCTCATTCCGTGAAAGCTTATTTACGTAGAACGTTATTTAAGGCCGTTGCACCGATACCGCCAAGCGTCGTCTGCAACGTTGAGCGCCGCAGTAGGTGAACTCTTCGAGTACTCGGAGTTTTCTACCGCTCTTGTTCCATTCTTCTTCTTTCTCGTCGTTTAGTACAGTTCGAAGTTTTCTTCTCTGCACAGTGTATAATTTATACGTATTTATACATCTGGTACGGTAATTAATATTCGTCGTGCACCTTGGATCTCTGCGCGCTGGGTAAATGATGGATGCTTGTCACGCAGTCTACCATTGTTTATCGTGATCGCGGGAAGGAATACACGTATGAAAATGTCGTCGATTTTGCCTATATTCGTGTGTACACTGTGCAGAGCTGGAAAGAAGTCCCGTGGAAGGAATGCGGGTCAGAATGGACGGAGTGAAATAGACCCACGCTACCTCGCGAGAATTTTCGGCCGTAGCATATTGCTAGCCGATGTGGTCACGCACACTAACCGGATCGCGTAACGAAGAGAGTAAATGAGCGGTATCGAGAACGAGTGAGACAGTGCTAAGCGATAGCTGCAACACACTGGCATAGGCGTGAACTCGTAGTGCCAACTAGTAATACAACGTTTAAATTTTCTACTTTCTTTTATGTTTTATCAATTTTAGTTTTCGTCATTTGCTCGGGGAAGTGTCTATCGCTGCTAATTTGGTGAGGTCCTTTTGGTGAGAATGAGTTTAACACGACTTCGTACAGGGATTGCTTTCTTAATTCATATTTTGAATTTACAAATAAATAATATTTCAGTAATAGTTTAATTCATGAATATATTTAACAATAAGCACAACATATGGAAGGTACTTGAAAGGTTGTGCAAATGGTCCTCCCAGCCGTTACGCTGTTAAAAATAGTTCGATTAGGCTCACGTTCATTTCCATCGCAGTAAACTCTGTGTAATTACATTAAAAAACAAATCACACAGATTGGCTATTTTTGGGGCCGGCAAAAGCGACCACCCTCTCGAGGATACGTTCAATTTTGTCGCACACGTATAAATATAAGTGAAAATATTCACGTTTTGCTACTAGCATCCCTATATTCCCGCGTTTCGGTACTTAATATTTATGGTAGATCATGGAACGCGTCCCCCGGTGAATAATGGAATGCCACCACTATGTCAGCGTGTCCCGCCAACAGCCTAACGCTGGGGGTACACGAGCGTGTAGAAATACATTGTCGTATATTAGACCTCGCAGACTGCGAACGTGCGTCACTTTTAACATACAGTGCAACCTTTGTTAATTTTTCTTCCAAGTATTTATGCCTTAGAATCCGTCAGAGCACGTTCTGCATTGTATACCAGTGAATGCAGCAGGTCGTCCATTGGAGCCAAAAAACGTTTCAACACTCGTGTGCCTCTAGCCTAAACGCGTAAGATTGCGAGAACGTTCGAGGAGCAAAGTGCCCCTTTTCCCCTTTCGCGAGTCTTCTTTCCAGCTCTGCACAGCGTATATACAAATATATGTAAAATCGAGGACATTTTCATAACTGTTATCCTTTTTCGCGATCGCGATAAAAATAGGGCAGACTGCGTACTTGCAAGTCATTCAGTTTACTTATTGTACCGTCTGTGAGATAAGAACCGCGAAATCAACTCGTGTATTTACGTACGCATGCCCATACATACGTGTCTGAGATTACATTTAAGCGAGGTGTGTCAATGTCGATAACGATGATCGTACTTTGAACCGTTTCGTTGTTTGTTATTGACTGCTCGTTACATACATACGTACTGTTGGTCTTGCTGATTACCGTCCACTGATTCGATGCAAAAGAATCCAGTTGAGATATTCTGTGCATGTGTTATTGCTTCCTCTATATGTTACATTGCAACGCGTACGGTATATTCGAGGCAATTGCGCTGCTAAATCGACCTTGGCATGATTAACTCTTCGATAGTTCTTGAGGTTCTATCTAACGCAAAGTTCTACGAAAATCTATCGAGTAGAATAAGCCGTCGGTAATCAGACAGATAATGTTATTGGTAAACGGTTACGTGCATAGATCGCTGGTTCTGTGCATTAAAACTCCATTATGCCCACGATCGTTTTAACACGTTTACCATATTATTCATGCGTTGATTATACCCACAACATCAGGAAACGTATTTCCATTCATTTTTTATCCCGCCTTCCGTTCGTTGTCTCTTTTATGTCTTCGTTTCCCTTGGCAAAAGCGTGGCCTAGATAGGGACCTGCGCGCGTTAACGGGTGTCGCGAAAATTTCGCGCCAAACTCGCGTCTGGTAATCAACGTCGTGAAAATTTCGCGCCGAACTCGCGTTTTATAATTAACACCGCCAACTATTCGGTCAGCTGTTTTTCCATACTCTTCTGCACGATGCATGCAAAATATTCGATACGTGTATCTCTCTAATCGTTAATAGAGGAGGCTTGTACTGTCGCTGTGATAAAACTCACGGTCGTCGTACGACAGTTTTTAATCTTTCGCGATTTTTATACGGAACGATTAACGTTCACTTCCTCGAACCACTGTACTTGTTCTAGCGATTAGAGAGAAACGACATTCGCCATGGTAGATAAATTTCATTGGAACGTTACTGCGTTTCGCGTTTCAGGGGCTGGATAATTGCCTTGATGAACTGCTAGAGGCTCGTGCGGATCAAGAAGAAGTTTCGAAGCATGACGAGCATCAGGCAAATTCTTCGCTGCGGTCGCAGACTCTGCCAGCTGCAGGAGAGTGGGGCGAAAATGTTAAACCGGTCGGCGAAGTTCGCGTCAACCCAGGCGCAGCAGCAAATCGTCGGGGATGAAAACGGGAAGAAAATAAAAATTTTTCCGTCACCTTACGGCGACTCACCGCCGCTGCACATGCTTGTCCAAGATTACATATGGAGGCACATCGACAAGCATCATAATCAACCGGCACTGGTAATTTTCTCGAAAAAATATCCTTTTTCTTTTTCTCTCGTGGAAGAATTAATCGAGGGCAAGTGCAGGAAGTTTCCTTCCTGTTTTCTTTATCGAAAGTATCGAAGCAGTTGTCGCCGAGGCGGCAGAGGAATGCTGAACTGTAGGAATATTTAAATCGGTTCGAGCTGGTGTGAGTAGTAGGATTGTCAGTGAGAGGGAAACAGTGGGAGTAATTACACTCGTTGCAGTTGATTGAATTGCATGCGTGTAACGTCCATGGGAATGATATTCGAAGCGTTGATCTTTGCTGCACGCGTGGAGGTCGCAAGTTATGCGCATAGTTAAGCTGTTTGTCCGTCGAGCTTTACTTTTCATTTTCGAAAATTATTCAACGTCGCCGGTGTTAATTACAATACCGCGTCATTTGCATGGGTTTGAAATTGTTCCCTCTGTTCGTGTTGGTTAAATTTGGCAAAAGATGCTTGGCGATCGGAATTGAATTTTCGATACTACTCGGGGTCAACCGGATGAATTTCAAGAGATCTCTGGGTTTTCGTCCTGCAGAAACGTCTGGAGAGAACTCGGGCTGCATAATTCAGGCCGTATGACATAAACACGAGTGTCGTTATTCTAATGCAATCGATGCCGCCGTTTCAGGTGTGCGCGGTGACCGGAAGGAAGTACACGTACAGCGAGACGAGGGACGCGTCTAATTATATCGCGAGAAGTTTGATAAATATGGGTCTGAGGAAGGGCGACGTTGTGGCCCTGGTGGCGCCAAATTATCCAGAATCGATCCTAGGTTTCCTCGGGATCTTGGAGGCTAATCTAGTGGTCACTACGGTGAATCCTTTCTACACACGCGGTGAGTGGGCAATAACGAGCGATAATTAATTCACTTCTATGTAAACATTCACCGATAACACACGGTATCGTTTGGAAAACGTCTTCCTCCTTATCCGTCGTGGCAGTGAATTTTCAAATACGAATTACGCAATTTGTGCGATTCGGCGAGAAAGTTGGAGAAAAAAGATACGACTGTGAAATTGGTATTAGTTGCGACACTTTTGCCTGTTTCGAACGACGGTTCGTTCTTAACCTCGGGTAATTCGTTCGTAATGGCTGGAAATTATCCGGTGGCATATTTCGAACAGATGAAATTGCGAGGCAACTGGAGAGTTCCGGGGCGAAGGCGATCATTACAGTGGCAGAAATTGCACGGACCACACTCGAAGCCTCGAGAGGCACTCTCGCACCTGGAGCACCCTTCGTGGTTATCGAGGATGGTACTGGACCAATTCCAGAGGACAGCGTGCCGTTTAAGGTGCGAAGGAAAATTGATGAGAACCACGCGACAGGTTTCGAACTGTGCTTGAAATTAAACGTCATTTTACACAGGATCTCATCACACGTGGAAAATCGTTGCCACCTTTGAGCGAGGCGCAAATTTCACCGGACGATTTGGCCGTTTTACCTTATTCCAGCGGAACGACAGGTTTGCCTAAGGGTGTTATGTTGACGCACAAAAATCTGGTCTCCAATATGGAGATGGTTGATCGAACTGCTAACAAGGAAATGTGGCAGCAAGCGACGAGTAAATAAATCGTTACTTCTTTCTTTGCTTTTAACGTTAACGAATAATTGGAGAAATAATCTCGTTTAATTCTCTCACCGTTACAGCTGATTCTCAGGAGATCATACCGTTGATCTTGCCATTCTTCCACATTTTTGGCATGAACGGTATGGTTCTGCCGCGTCTCGAGGCTGGTACGCAAATAATCACGGTGCCGAAATTCACGCCAGAGGTATTCATCGGCGTTCTGGCGAACCACAAGGTGAGAATTTCCTTTTCTCAAACTTTGAAAACGGTCGTCTGCGAGTTTTAAGCGGGGGAAATTAATCTCGACGATTTTCTAAGGGTATTTTGTGTATAGTCATCAGGTCTGTTCCTAGTACCGCCGATACTCTTATTCTTGAACGCATCTCCGTTCGTGAAGAGGGAGTATTTGGAGTCCATGCACCACTTCATATGTGGCGCCGCTCCTTTGGCACAGTCGGACGTGGAAAGATTCTACCAGAAGTTCCAAATGGACTCTAGCACTTTGAAATTCTGTCAAGGTATAGAGAAACTGCGAAACTTGAAACTCTAACGATACTTCGATGTTCCAATTTTGCTGTTGCTCAAATTTCAACTTTACGCTTCGACATTCTAATTTACCTAATAAACAAACACTTAAATTTCTCCTCACACCGAGTCAGAATTTTTTGAAAAATTAATCCAAGGTTCGAAAGCTCGCTCCTCTCAAACCTTTCGCTGTGACCTTGAGATATAGTCGAGCGCGGTTTTATTCTTTTTCAAGCAAATAGTCGTGTATCGTTGAAAGGGTTTCGCTAAATTTTCGCAGATTTTCAATTTTTTCCCGGTTCTCTTTCCCAAGGATACGGATTGACAGAGGCGTCGCCGGTCGTTTGCCTGGACAAGATGGGATTGCAACCAGGAAGTATCGGACAAAATGTCGCCGGATGCGATATACGATTAGTCGATCCAGTTACCAAGGAAGATGTTTCTAGCCCTGGTCAAACCGGTGAAATCTGGGTCAGGGGGCCTCACATTATGAAAGGGTACTTGAACAACGAGAGTGCCACTAGGGAGATGATGGTCGAGAACGGCTGGCTGAAAACCGGGGATATCGCTTACTATAACGATGAGTTCTATTTCTTTGTCACGGATAGATTGAAAGAGTTAATCAAAGTTAAAGGATTCCAGGTAAACGAGCCTCCCTTTTTCCCCCGCTCAATTCGACCACACACGGTCCCTTTGATCAATCTCCTATCGTCATCTGTCTCGTTCATTCTACTATCGAAAATTCATCGTAGATCGTGCTCGGTCAAAGGGTTAAATCGAAGGTTCCAAGGCCGATGAAACATTTTCTTCGACACTCTGTAATTATTCTACTAGAAGTGCCGGCGAAGTGTACTTGAATTTTATTGTTTCCTCGAAACTTTTATTTACGATGATCTGCTAATTTCGTAACAACTTAATCTAGCACTGACGTAACCGACGTTCACATGCTTCTTATTACATAAACACCGTGTTTCACTATCTTTTTTCGCACGAACCGTCAGTCTGCATTATTTACATACGTTTAATTTCTCATTTGTTTCTTTTGTTACTGAAAATCAATTGTGTTATTTTCTTTCTTTGAAATTTGTTAACCAGGTGGCACCAGCTGAGTTAGAATCGTGTCTAAGAATGCATCCAGACGTTGTGGAGGCTGCTGTGATTGGTATTCCAGACGAGAGGTCCGGCGAAGTACCGAAGGCTTTCATAGTGCTGAAAAAAGGCGGGAAAGCGAGCGAGGAGGATATTAAGAACTTCGTGAAGGGCAAAGTGTCCGACTATAAAGAGCTGCAAGGTAAGACGGTGTATCTTCTACGTTCAATTAAAGTCTACGACGAACGTGCACACTCGAACGATTTCTCGTTTGATCGTAATAAACAAGTTCTTCAAGGCGATCAACTCGCAACTCGATTATACTTCTTCTCTCAACTAATCACGTCTTACGCTCAACTACGTTCCTTCAATTTTCCTTATTTTCTTTTTTGTCAACCGGGAAAAACGGTCTCGCAACTTTTTTCTTTTTCAACAACATCCAGCGGAATGAGTCCCGATATAGCTGATAATTGGACACTTGCAGGTGGTGTCACGTTCGTAGACAACATACCGAAGAACCCGAGCGGCAAGATCATGCGAACGCAACTGAAGAATCAGTACAAATAACGAAGTTTCGTGCTTCAGGAAGAAAAACAAAGAGGAAAAAAACGGGAATCTAAACGCGAGATCTCGATTAACAGTTCACACGATGATTAACGGGATCGATCTTTGATTAAGAGAGCACGAGTCACGGTCACTCAGAGTCGTTCCTGGTGGAAAAATAAAATCGATCCGTCGCGACGCGAACCGTGTTGACTGTTACTCGAGAGAGAAACGGAAGGGGACGAGTGTGAAGCAAACGCTAATTGGCTAACGACCACGCGTGCAAATCGTTTTGTTTTTTTCACGATATCACAAGGCTCTGGTGCTGTTTTGACTAACGACCGATCGAAGATCGAATGGGTGCTTTGCTTACTTTAAGAGAACGAAAGAAACAACGGATACTTATCGAAAGGGAAAGCATAGGGTAACGTAGAGTTGCGTATGAACGTGGCGGCGAAAGGAGAAGAAGACGAAGAAGAACGTCGACGTATACGTACTTTTGTTTTTTGTTTTTTCTTCTTCTCTCCTCTTCGAGTATCATTCGATATACTTCTTATCGTGTTTAATCGTGGTTAATATCTGTGACAATGCAATTATTCTAATTTTTAAGATACGTATTCTACGTATTGGAGTTTAACGATACGTATTTTTTATATAGGTCATTTGTACCGTAAAAGTAACAGGTGTTTCTAAGCAATAAAATCTTTTACAACTGTTATAAGTAACTTTATCTATTTAGCGAGTACTTATACTAGGATATATATTGCTTGTTCTATTTATACACGTTACTTTTTTAACACACTTTAAACACGAGTTTCATGATTACTTGTTCCTTCGAATGCAAATTTCCCTTCGTCCAAGATCAAACCCCCGAATCTCATCACTCGACCCCTTTCCAATCTTTCAAATACCGAACGAATTGCCGTCCATAACGTAGAAATTATGTTTGTCGTTCAGATCTGAGTTGGACTCTTATTGGACTCGGTGTATTTTTCGTTGTCCCTATTTTTCCAGCCTCTGCGCTCTTTTCTCTCTTCCCCCTCGCTCCCCTCGTTGGATTCTCGCTAGTCGAGGGTTACACCCCTGGTTGAATACGGCTGAAGGACCAACGAGGTACTTGGAGGACGTTACGATTTTATGGTAGACATAAATGAAGCTTTACAACGAACCTCCTTTCACCAAGTCCTTTCTTCCACTCTCCGGCTGCTTTCGAGATAAATCGTTTCGCTTCAAGGGAATATCGCCTGGTTAAAGACACTGGATCCACTGGTGTCTTTCTCCAACGCGATATCGTCGCGAACATGCAACGATTCGTCTCGACAAGCTGCGACAAATCTGATCAACCGATGCTGCTTCGTGCAGCAGCTTTCTACTTTCTCTTCGTTTCGTTATTCGCTGTGCCACGATCGAACTTACGTGGATGCTCGTTCGCGAGTGTTAGGATACTTGGTGAACGTGCAAGTTAGGATTAAGAATTGTTCGGGAAAAATATGTCCAGACTGGTTATGGCAAAAGAATGCCGGACCAATTCTACGTAACTTGTCCACGGTGCCGAAAAGAATTTTTTTATTCTAATACAGCGCATTGTGTCGCGTCGCGTTCTTTTGCGATGTTCAAAAGGAAGCTCAGCCGAAAAGAATTTTTTTATTCTAATACAGCGCATTGTGTCGCGTCGCGTTCTTTTGCGATGTTGAAAAGGAAGCTCGCGGTCGCGACTGTTACCCGCCAAATTAATCTTAGGTAACTAGTTCAAATTTGTAGCAAAACGTAGAGTGCGTCACGAACGATTGACGACTTTGTTTCAAAGACTCGAATTGTACTTGAACGGCTGGAGATCGAGTGGTGTTCGTTCGATGGAACCTTTTCTCAATCTCTCGCTCGATCCCCGAATTTTTCTGGAGTCCGCAGTGACTCCTCCGCCAAGTGCAAGAAGGCACGCTGATTGGTTTTTCACGTACGCACAAATTACCAATGAACGTGCCCCTTGAGTGTCACCCACCCTTCCATTGCGCCCTTAGCGCGCTTTTCCTTGGAAGGAGTGGGTGCGTGGAATCTTCGCTGTCCTTCGGTGACGCGTCGGAAATTCCCGCCAGGTCAACCCTCGGCCGAGAGTGCCGTTATACGCGCTTGTGGATTGACCCTTCGGTAATACCTGGTTTATGACACGTCTTCCGTTATCGAGGACGCGGAAAAGTCGAAATTCTAAAGGCATTGTTCTGTAAGATATTACTTATTTTTTCGCGGAGCTACGAAGCGTCTTTGTTCTGAAAAGTAACCTTCTCGTGCGAGCGTGCCATAAACCCGGTCAACGAAGACCCCATTGCAATATGCTGTGTGATGCGTTAGGTGAAAATTTTACAAATTGTACTGCCATTTATTCGAATTAAATGCTTTTACTAATTTTGAGGCCGCTGGTCACCGGTATTCTTGAGTGATTCGGAAGATGAAGATAGAGTAGCGTTAAGCTTAACGCTGCTCAAACAGCCTGCAGCTCTTAGAGATGCTTGATTCAATTTTAACGTAAATACCTCGGTGGAAGATTTCAGTCTGGATGGATTTTGTGAGCGACACTAAGTGTATTTACGCGTTAAATTAATATCTTCGTACGAGAAGAACGTAGTTTGAAGTTTGATCTTCAATTCCAGTCGTTATGTAATCTGTCGCGAGTATTATGCGGTTAGGAATGAAATTGAAACGAGAAGAAAAATGAATTTCTTGTCAGATACGAATTGCCAATTAACCAGGAACATGTTTATTAACTCAGACGTCCTGTTTCTGCTTGAATTGTCGAAAATTGAACAGTTAAAGGTCTGTTCTAATCGATCTGCGTGTTCTCCACAGCAATCTACAATTTAATCCCTTCCAGACTAACTTCATTCCGTCGTTCGAGTTCCATTTCGCCCGAGCAAGCGTGTTTCGAGATCTCGATCTCGCGTTCTAGCTCATCACGCATTCCGCGCGAATTCTACGGCAATCACGAGTGTGTTCTACCATTTTGTCGGTATCCGAAAACGTCCAAATTGAATTTCCACGTCTGAAATTCCGTCTGATGCCGCGTTGTTTCGTAAATGCGCCTATCATTCGTCGTGCTTCACTTGGAAGTGGTAGAAGAAGGGTCGCGAATCGTCCTGAAGAATAGGGAGGGAAGAGCGACGAGTGGCTTCGGGTACGAGTCCTCCTCCCTTCCCTTTTCGGGGTGAAAAGATAAACCGCAGTCGTGTTTAATCCTATTCGCAGGGCATTAGTTGCATTGGTAAGGGTAAATAGCGATGGAAGTTACAAAGAAGGCAATTCTGTTCTTTGTTATCGTGGAAATTGAGAGCTTTCGAGGTGAAAATCTCGGCAAATGTGAAAATGGGGAAAAGGAAAGTTTTACGACGGAATTAAACATTTTTCGTAATAGAGATTGCAAAATATTCTCAAATATTTATTTATTTACTTATTTAGAGACGAGGTTAAGTTAAATTGATTAGAAATTAAATTAAATTAGATTATTTAGAAATTGTTTTAAATTAGATTATTTACAAATTATACTAAATTTAATTACTTAGAGATCGAATTAGGAATTAAATTAAATTTGATAATTTAGAAATTATTTTAAATTAGATTATTTACAAATTATACTAAATTTAATTACTTAGAGATCGAACGGTTAGGAACAATTGAAAACACAAAATAGTGTCACCAAAAAGACTTTATTCAGAAATTAAATAGCTACAATCAGTAGAAAATACAAAACGAATCTAACAAAAAGTCAGACACTTTTCACAATAAAAGTTAGCGATTCACAGTGAAGATTGAAAAATCGGAAGGTTGTAGTAGTGCACCACGCTAAAAAAAACATTCTTCTCTTTCTTCACGAACTACCTAGATAATTCTCTATCCACCCTTCACCTACATTTCTCCCTTTCACCTCCTCATGGTGAATATTCCGCGCCAAAATAAAGTTTTTAAGATAACTGGCAGCCGCTAAGTGCTGCAAGCCTCTCCGACCGAGGACCGTAAAGTTCGTTTCGCCTGGAAAACCGTCGTGGAGCCGTGGAGGAGACGCGCGGCGTAAACGGTTGGAATTTATTTCACGAGCGCGTTCAGCTTTCCGAACGATTCACTGGCACACGCCTCGCGTTTCACGTTTCTATACTTGTACACGGAGAATAGCGCTGCTCAGCCGGAAATTCACGCAAACAAATCAATCGGTTTCCGAATTAAATCAAACGAACACATACATAGTAGACATTTCAAGTATTTCACCGCCTCGTTGTTCGTCTCTTCTTGCTCCTTCCTTTCCTTTTTTCCGGATTTCTCTTCGACGTAGGAACACGCCTGGCTGGAAGATGAAAAATAGGAACGAGCAGATTGCACCAGCGTGTCACCCATTTTTTCTCACCCTCTATTTCTCAGCCTTGATGCTTCTTCTTTTTTTTTTCCTCTCCTTCTCACCCAGCTTCCATTCCCTTTTTGTCCTCTCAACACTCCCTCTCTCTCCCTCTTGCGACGTAGTCACGCTCGGCTAACGATGGACGGTCTCGTTTCGCTTTTGGACCACACCGAAACGTCCACTGTAACCCTTTTGTGCTCGTCGCAAGACCATTCCTGACGATTTATTAACGACTTATCCATGGGACTGTAGCACGGACCCACTTGCAATTAAAGTACACTGCTGGGTAAAAGTTTTCAGACCACTGTGCGCGTTACAAGCCGAGCAGGGATCTCGAGAGAAAGAAGTTCAAAGTCTCGGGGAAGTTTGAAAGTTTGAGAAACTTCTTAATGAATTCTTCATTACTCAAAAATCTACACGTTGATCCTACCAACGTTAATCGTACATTTACGAATAACTGCTGGACGATTTAATTTTCATTTGAATTGATAGGCGATGGCCTAACTTTTCTCACACTGTGTATTCAGGGGTTTTTTGGGATTTCTTGGGAGAAAGAAGGTGAAAATCTGAGAAACTTTTGATGAATTCTTCGTTACTCGAAATCTACCCATGGTAAATTCGTAAAAAATTGGTGGCAGATTTAATCTTGACGTGAATTGACAAGCGGTTCCGAAATTTTAACCCTTTGCACTCGGAGATGATTTTGCTGTAACGAAGGTTGTAAATCGGATCTTCTTCGAAATTTGTTCAAACTAACGTAGAAATAATCTGTAGTTTCACTATGGTTTCACAAATTTATGGAGATCTATAGATCTACTACTTTGTCGCCGTTCGATTGCAAAGGGTTAATCTTCGGTGTATAAAAGTTCATGTACAATTTTATGTACAATAGAAATCTGCTAGTATCATCGACGAAAAAGAAAGTGGTAACTCGATTCGCGATGGAAAAATGTCGGACTCCGGAGTGAGTTGGAAAAGAAAAAGATTCAAGTGTCTCGTACCTTCTTCCCAAGGTTCGAACACGTCGTGTCGTCTATGTATAGGTGACTCTCGAGGGAATTAGTCGCAAGCTTTGGCGGTCGAGGAGAGGCGTTCTTCACGGAACTTTGTCGCGGATGGAAGTTGGAAGTTGA